ATCTTTTGAGAACAAATTTATCGTCATTATGATCAAATAATATATTTGCACTGAGACACTGGGTATATAAAATAGAGATCCCCACTAGAAATGTGGGCCTCTTTTATAGCTATTATTTCAAGATATTTTAAAGGAACATAAGGGATGGTTATTCTCTTCTACCCCATCCCTTTTTTGAACAACTTGGAATACTAAAAAAAAAACTGAAAAGTACAAATGGCTTCCATGAACCCTTCCACTAGTTGTTTTCTGTTTTTACTTTCTTCTCCCCTTGAAAATCCCTCTACATCATCTAAAAGCATCCCTCAAAGGTTGGAAAAAACTAAGTCAGACTCTAATTTGGGACTCAGTGTAGAAGCAAGGCTCTAGGGCTTTTCAGATCATCCAACTGGATCCCAAGGATGCCAAAGGCATGTGATGCCCAGCCACCTTTGACTTCTTCGATTTTGGTCTCATTATCACTTGTGAATAAAATGTCTGAGCTAAAGAATTATTCCCACCCATGTAATGAGGGTTTCTTTCCTCTATAGCATCACAGCTTGGAACAGGCTTAATCCCCACACATAATATCTAAATACAGATCAGAAATGATCAGTATGGTTGCTCCTGGTGTCATTATCTAAATACAATGACAACAAGCATTGCATCATGGGCATCAGTGAGAAGCAGAATAGCTGAAGGGTTAAGCCTGCACAGGCTAAAGCAAGATGGCCTGGGTTTCAATTCCACCTCCACCTCATACACGCACACACACGAGCTCTGTCACTGTACCTGACCTCTATAGGCTTATTTTTCTCCTCTGTAAAAAGAAGATAGTAATCACCATCTACATCAGCAGGTTGCTGTGAGAACTAAATTTATAAAATCCTTGGGACAGTGTCTAAGCACTGAAATAACATGAACTATGAATAATAGTACAAATAGTCAAAATCTGTGTGGGAATGGCCATGTACACGTCTTGTGTATGTATGTACATGTGTATAAAATACCACATATATTTACAAATCTATTCATAGGGAAATATAGAGGTGCACTTACTTCAAGGCAAAATATTTTAGTTCTATTTGGCCTCGTTCACTAAGTCGACATCTCATATTAATTTGTTTTTCAAATGGGAAAGTCAAGAATGTTACTTTTTGAAGGAAGGAAAAGAAAAATGTCTACTTAATTTAAAATAACTAAGCAAACCTTAGAAAAGGCAAGATACCAAAATGTCTAGAAAACCTAGGGGAAGGAGAAAGACTGAAAAGACAAAATGAGAAAGATTTTCAATGTTCATCCTAACAAGAAGAACTCAGTCTGTAGAAACTTGATTTGGAATGGTCTGACCACCCTACAAAAGCCCATGTTTAATTTCTTATAACAATAAATTCAACACTATGCAGCAACATTAACATAGCAGGCGCCAGTGAATTACTGATAACTTTCTTCTCTCATGTTGGGAATACAACCACCCCTGTAAGTGTAGCAGTGAAAAATCACATGGTAGAGGAAGCTGACGCTTGGGTCATCTAGCAAGGTGAGTTCTCTCACATTTGTCCATCCACTGCTGATGAGACACCACATGGACCTAGATCTTAAGAGCCTGCTCTTTTGTATCTGCTGCTTTCAACAGGATATGATTATGTTCATGCACATGTATATAGGCATCCATGGAAAACATATGGTTTGCTTTCATAAAGTCTTAAAATTGACACTGGGAATAAATTAAACATGATTCTACAATGTTCATGCTTGTATCACCTGGAAATAGAGTCCAGAACATAAAGTTAGTATTTTATGTTTTCTCACAAAACAGAAGAAAAACACATCCCTTCGGTTCTGCCCTTAGTTTGTTGTGTTAGCATCACTTCCTGTACTGTCACAGGAAGAAAAGCCCTACTAGGGACTGGTTCAACTAAAATAGCTCCTTTCACATCTGTGCAGTGAACCCTCAACTATCACATATGCTAATTTCAGTTAGAGGACCTGACTACAGGTCATTTAACAAATCCTTGACTTAAAAACCTTGCTTCAGACGCCACCACTGTTCTGTCCTGTAATACCAAGCCAAGCAGCTGGAACATGAACAAAGTGACGAATAAAGACACCAAGCAGCATTCTGTCTTCAACAGATCACAGGAGAACATCCGTCAGTGTGTCACCTCTGACAGATACGGCAGTTGCATAGTGAAGAGAGGCAGAGGAGAGCCTGGCAGGTTGAGGATCCAACATTTTGCAGAAAGACAACCCATCATGAAGCCCCACAGACTCGAGGACACAGCACTACAGCCAGGGTGGCACCCAGGTGTGCACCCCCACCCCCACCCCCCCCGCCAACCCAGTCCCCTACAGACAGCTAACAGGTCTACAGGCAAGGTACGTGAATGAAACGCGTTTTCAAAGAAAAGGAAATGAAGGCTTGGCTACCCATAATCTTACTAAAAGAAGAATGAAAGAAGATGAAACTGAGGCCAAGTGTGGTGGCTCAAGCCCATAATCCTAGCACTTTGGGTGGCCGAGGTGGGTGGATCACAAGGTCGGAAGTTCAAGACCAGCCTGGCCAATATGGTGAAACCCCGTCCCTACTAAAAATACAAAAATTAGCCAGGCATGGTGGTGTGCGCCTATAGTCTAAGTTACTTGGGAGACTGAGGCAGAAGAATCGCTTTAACCCAGGAGGCAGGGGTTGCAGTGAGCCAAGATCATATCACTGCACTCCAGCCTGGGCGAAGAGTGAGACTCCGTCTCAAAAACAATAACAAAAAAACCTAAATACATTTTTTATTCTGTCCCAAGAAAGCATTTTCTGTATAGCCTCTCACTTTAATAGCAGAAATCGTTTTGGAATAATCACAATAGAAATAACAAAAACAATTTTTAATAAAATTACACTTCGTCAACTTAGGGAGCAGAAGTATCCACTACGTTACGGCTGTGGTATTTCTGAGAATCACTAAGGCCAGTCAACGTACACATGGTCTAAATTTTTGAAAGCAGAGTTTTAAATTAAAACTGAAAATGAGTTTAAGTGAGCACTTTTATTCCAGTACTTTCAGGACAACCAAATGACAGGCTGTAGGTATATAGCATATCTAACGGTTCTGCATTTTTTTCAATGGTGTCCAGTGAGAAACGTCCCTATACACACAGTCACATAAACCCACGTATCCTTGCAAAATCATACTTTGGAAAACCAGCAAGAACACCACCATCTTGATCTTCCTTGCTGTGGGCCTCAGAGATTTGAGAGTACAACATGGCAGCCTGCATTCTCCAGTGTGGGGGTGGGCTCTGCTCCGAGGCATGAAGCCCAGCAGGGAGGAATCCCTCAGAGAAAAGGCAGTGGAGAAGTGGCTCCATTTCCAAGGCTCCCTTCCTGTTTAGAAGTCCCCTCTATTAGACAACCTATTTCTATTCATCTGTTCTAATCTTTCTTCAGATCAAGCCAGCAGCCCATTAATCATTTCTGTCATCTCCCTACAGAATCCAGGGCAACAGATCTCTGTTTTTCTAAAATCACAGTGCCAGAAACTAAACTCGAGAAAGAGGAAATCCTCTCCTCCTCACAGCGGCTGTCTGGGTGCTGACTGGAAGAAGCCACCAATTGTGTTCACTTTCCTCTTTTGCCCAGAATTGCATAGAACATTCCATGGAAAGTTTTGAAAGGGAATTCGGGTGGGAGGTGGAGCTGGGGAGGTTGAAGAGGAACCCAACGCATGAAGCCACCAGCTGAGGAGAACGTGAGAAAGGGAAGTAGAAAAACAAATGCTGAGACAATGACGGATACAGATTAATAAAACCTTTATTAGTGTTTTTATTAAGGCCAAATGTTTTAGCAACTTCAGACAGCAGAAAAAGTATATGAAAGGTCAAGCCTGCTGGCAGCATGGGTCCTCTACACTGAAGCAGTGGAGAAGTAAAATAAACTACACCAAACAAAATACTCCCCAATGGCAAAGGAAAAGCCTCTTTTGGAGCTGATGTACTTGATTGCATAAAGATGTTGGGAGTGACCTGAACCCATTGACATCTTGGGCTAAATATGTTTTTCCCCCATTTTTTAAATGAGGCTATGCCTGTTGGCTAAGAGAGAACACCGAGCATATGTTGGCAGTAGAAAACAGAAGACAGAACCACATAACATTCAGAAACCAGATTCACCAATGATCATGACTGATATTCACACTCTTAGACCACTCATACCTCGTATTAGTTTTTATAGTGACCTTTGCACAGGACAGAAATGAATGGCATGATACTAAATATACAGAGATTTGCAGTTGGGAGCCTTGATTTCTCCTCCCATGGCTGACATTACCAATTTGATCCAGGACAAGTCCCTTTACAAATGAGAGAGGATGCCCTGAGACATAAAGGCATGAGGCCAGCTGTGAAGTCCTTCCAAGATTCTTGGGCTCTCAGTGGTAGACTTAGGTGGTTTAAAGATCTCTTGCAGCGCTTTGATTCTGTGATTTTATTATGCTCATAAGGATGAGCCAATGTCACCAGAGAAAAGGGTACATTTCATATACAGGGGTGGTTCCTCTTTGTGGTACTGAATGAAATTCTAATGTGTAATGATCAGTATGTCCCAACTGGCTTGAAATGAATAAACATCTTTAATACTAAAGTTCAGGAATAATTTACTTAAAATGTAAATTGAGCAATTCAGTTATTATTCAGTCATGTGATTCTTCAGATGCCATTTTTCAAAAATTACGGGTAGTCACTGGCACAGAAAGAAAAAAAATAAACACAATGCAGGGCTATACAAATGTGGCTATAGTAACAACTGGAGAAACATTTAAACATATGTATACAACAGTGGTGCTCTTAAATGTACCAAGAGACCGTATATGACTAAGATTTGGGTACTTTAAGGGGTTTCCCAGGGTAAATTTGACCTAAGTACTGTCTTAGACAACCCTCATATAATCACCTATGCTGTAATATATTTCAGAAAGATGAATAGATGTAAATAAGCAGCAAATAATTTGAACATAAGAAAGGAAGCTTACCGCGAATGCTATCGTACTTCTTAACGTAGATTCCCACTGGAAGCAGCTTTTAAGGAACTGCATTGTATTCCATATTGCCATAGTGATTCTTTTCACACGGTCCACATCTCTTGATAAGATCTGATTTTAAAAAATGACAAACAGGAAATGAGATTTAAATACTACAAATATTCCATCTAGATCAGGTACCCTGATCATTTAAAGTATATTCTATATAGATCCCAATTTTTAAAAATGATAATAATAGAAAGGAGAAGGCCTGACACGTCTAAAAGTCTTTTTAAAATATGATCATTCACAGAGGAAAAGAGAATCAAATGCATTTTAGCGCTCATCTGAAAAAGAACAGCCTGTTTCAACAGTGTTCAGAAGAAAAATGGAAATGGTGAAACTACAGAAGCCAGGTATTTAATGCTGGTGAATTTGTGTGAGAAAGACACATACAGAGGTAGAGAGAGAACTAGAAAGAGAAAGACAGAGAGAGAGAAAAAGAGAGATACAGACACAGAATGAATGTCTATGTTGTTTAGTTTGGAAGCAAATGCATAGATTTACAATAAAAACATACAAGTATTATAGCTTATCTAGTACAGAGGTCTACAGAAAAGTAGAGTTCTGGGAAGGGGTTGAAGTTCACCTTGGGCAAGTTACTTAACTTCTTTCTTATAAAATAGGGTTGATATTAGTGCTAATCTTACAAGTTGTTGAGAGGATGAAAAAGCTTAGAAAAGTGCCTGTCACAGAGTAAATGCTTTCAAGTATTTGTATCCTAAGGAAATGTTTCAAGTTTATCAAAATTTGGAGGTCTAAGTGGCAAGAGGTACGTGGGGAGGGTCCTAGCATACCCCAGGATTTCAGCCCCAAGTTCCCCGGTGCTCTCAGAGCCCAAAGTCACCCCACATGGAGGTCTTGTTTTGCAAAGGAAATGTCTCTCTCCCAGTTGTAGGCAGATTCATTTCAATGTGCTTGCAAAGCAGCTACCCCACCCACCTCAACCCAGGTTTTAGCTTTCAAGTAAACAGAGTGAAAGGCAATAATAATAATAAAATAAGACATTTACTCAGATTACACAAAATAAATATTACACTCAATGTTATGGCAGACCAAAATGAAATATTTGGAGGCTTCCCCTCAGAAGACGTTTAAGGCCTTTCCCAAGTATGCCCAGAAGTTCATGGGAAACAAAAGGATGATAAGATGTCTTTATATTTAACTGCTTTATGTAATCCACAGCTGCTCACCCCAAAGGAAGTGGTGGAAGTAATAAACTCTTGAAAAAGGGGACACTTTGTTCTTTGTTATACAATTGAAGAGGGATGATAGGTACAAAGTGAAATCCTGAGCTGTGGAGAGTACAACAGGGAGGGACTCTGAAAAAGAAATGTAAAGGTCACCAAAAAAAAAAAAAAAAAAAAAAGTGAAACTTCCTACCGTGTCCTGAACTTCACCTTTTGTTGAACTAAATGAGAGGAATTAAGGGCAATAGGCAGAGGGAGAGAACTTGCATTCAGTATGGGGTGAAATGCCAACACATCCCAAATTTAGACCACACCGAAGTGGTAGGAGCAGTCATGAGCGAAGCCCAGGCTAGAAGTCTCTGAAGATCTGCTGGGTTAATTCTGTTACTGACTCCACACACTGTGCCTCCCTGAAACTTCTCTAAAGGGCAGAGGACGAAATGGCTATGATTAAAGGACGGGTATGCAGGACAAGACATTGACAGTCTTGATGCTAGGAATTTTTGTTTATACAATGAATCAGGAGAATAATGGGGTCTGAGAACTTCTGTTTAATCCAAGAATTATGTTCTAAGTCTTGTCCTTCTTATGGGAGCTGACCGACCTCCTTATTTTAGGAGAAAAGGGGACAAGGAGAAAGAAGTGGAGAGACGGGACAAGAGCGAGAAAGGAGGAATAAGAGGGAGGAAAAGATTCAAGGAAGAAATTATAGGCAAGTGTTAATACTTCAGGTGCTGAGTGTACCAATTAACAAGCCACCTACTGTACCGACCCACCTTTTTGGACAGCTTGCGGCTGTCTTCAACAAAGCGCTTTTCCCTGGGAGTAAACGTCCTAATACTTGCTTTGACCTAGAAAGACATCATTGTTTAAAAAGGGCAGCATTTATAGGGACTTCATCCATCTAGTTTTCTTAATGACTGAGAAAATCATGCAAACCAATAGCTTCTGACTCTGACCTTAGCAGGGAGCAAAGAAATGGTGGACACTCCTGTGCCCTGTATATGTTTCTGGGGGTCTCATTTGATAAAAGTCCCTGGCACGGGTCAGATTGAGTCTAGAATGGTACTGTCTCTACTTGGCTCATTCTCTGGGGGTATTTTAAACCACTGCAGAGATTGATGTTCATGAATTTTTCAAACTAACGTCTGTAAAAGATAAAACTTCCTTCTGAAATCCCTTTAAGTTAAGCTTCTACCAAAAATGTCTGCAGGTGAATAACCATTTCCAGTTTATGAAAACACACTTTTCACAGAGAATCTTATTTCCTTTCAATGACCTGGAAAAATAAGTCAATGAGCCATTTTAACCCTGTTTTACAGGGAATAAACTGAGGTTCAGAGGGACTTATGCACTTGTTCAAACCAGTAGACTAAGACCCCAAAGAATCAGATTCAAGTCCTTCTCCACATCACATGAACTGTAAAATCCTTTAACCGAAATATTTTCTCTTCAAGTCTGTATTCCACTTGTCCCTTAAACTCAGGTTTTACCAGTATACATACTCTATATACAAACGTTTTCCAGAAGAAAGGAGGAGATGAGGGTGACCTGCTTATAAAATGCACATACGATTTCCTTGAAGGGAAAGGGAAGGAAATGGGAAGAAGAAGCAACACATCCTTTTACTGGAGACTGTGCCCAGAGTTCGAGTATTATTGAGAATGTGAGAGATATATATATATATATATATCTTTAATTTACATAATATAGCATTTTATATACTATATGTTATATAATTATATATTACATAGGTTATATTATATACATTTTATATAAAATTTTATAATAAAGAGATTATATAAAAATAATTTTCCTGTTTTTTTAATTTTTTCCCTGACAATTTAGATTTACTGAGAATTAAACAACATCAATTCTGCTGATTCAACAGGGTTAATACCACTTGAGAGCTGGGATGTCCAGCACATTTTATGACTCAGCTTTAAAACACTATTCTTTCCTCTCTCTAGCTGCAAAAATTCTGAAACATCTTACATTGATTTGAGCCTGCAAAAGCTGGTCACCTTCTATTTTAGGTATGGGAAAGCCGGGAAGTATGACCCAGTTAGACTTACCGGATTATATATAAGGTCCATCTCTAAGTAAATAACTCCTTTAAAAGCTTGTTCTAAATCTTTATTCTTTAGTACATAACAATTTGGTTGTCCATCTCTAATCTGTCACAAACAAAAATTAAAAAACACATTGGTACAAAGTTACTATGTTGTTTAAATAACCAAAACTAATTTTGGCAAAATTGGGGATGCAGAATGATCACAGATGAAGCAAACATTAAACAAATATTAATTCTATGATAAATCACCTTTTACTTTTAGAATGCTGTTATAACACGCTCTAGACAGGAAGATAAAGTGACAATCACCAGGCTGAAACTGATGTGTGGGTGAAAAACATTGGTGCAAATCATAAGTTACATATTTCCATTTACTCAAAAATGATGAATATTCTATAAAATTCCTGGCCAATACTCTTCAAGACTGTAAAGGTCATGGGAAAAAGGAAAGACTAGGAAACTGTCATAGATTACAAGAGACTAAGGAGATAAGATGACTAAATGCCATGTGGTATTCTGTATTGGGTCCTTAAGCAGAAAAAAGATATTGGTGCAAAAACTGGTGAAATCCAAATAAGGATCAGAGTTTAATTGCAATGTAACAATGTTAGTTATTTTCAGTTTTAACAAATGTATTATGGTAATATATGACGTCAACATTAGAATAAACTGGATAAGGTATGTATGGGGAACCCTGTATTCTCTTTGAACTTCTCTGTAAATCTAAAATTATTCCCCCCAAAAGGTTATTTTTAACAGAAATGAATAAAGGAGCTGGTTTTAATAGTGTTTTACTAGCCAGGAAACAATGCAAATTAAGTAAATAAATCAGTTTAAAGTTGAGGTCAAAATCCAAAAACACTCAAAATGTACAGTGCCAATAAATCTTCAAAACAAACAAGTTTCTCTGCTGTCCTCTCTTGGCTGGCATGTTGCATCAGTTCCATACACTAGTCTACCTGTGGACCCTACATATAAGTTATCTAAGTAAAACATCTTCAGTATCATTTTGGAAACTAATTGGCTCCCATGAAAGACAAGTTAATTAGCTTGATTTAATCATTCTCTTTTCAGATTTGATAGCAGTCATGATTTTACACACTAGTAGTATACGTAACTAATTAAACTTCAGGCTTCTAAGAAGCATACCTGTTAACTCTAAAAGGTTAGAGTTAAACTCAAGTTAGCAAAACCTCAGCAAAACTCAAGTTAATCAAAAGCTCTATTTGAGATTGTAATGATCAAAAATGTAAATGGGAAATCTAACAGCATGAAATTTGAGCCATATTTTAAATGACTATTGCTGTCGCTACAAGCATTCACACAAGTGTTCTTATAAACAGTGGTGGAAATGAGTTGAATAAGTCATGGGGGGAAACAGAGCAATTCCACTTTACAAGGGAGAGGTCATCTTCCTTCCCAAAGTCACCCCACCTCTTTCTGATTGAATAGGTTTGATACAGAAGGATGGTCTTCCTGGCCAGCAGCTAAGAGGAAGGGGGTGCCCCATAAAGACCTGGTTTCCTTCCTAAACGGTGTCCAAACAGGATTCTGAGCTTCCGCTTTGATACACAGTCTCACTTAATAAATTGTGGATGTTAAAGTTGAAAGAAATAAATACAAAAACAGCCTGACAATTTGCCAAGCTGACTTGGGTCCAGTTTAGCTTTGCTTCAACCCACAGTCATTGTACTGTTATCTTAAAATTTCCATGATTTCTTAAGGGCTGGCGAAGGATAACAGAAGAACAAGAGGTATCAGAATAAAGAGAAATATTTTATAGCAAAGGGATTTTTTTTTTTAATTTGGTAAATGACCATTTCCTGTTTCCTAACATCCCTCACATTGTGTCAGCAAAATCAGAACCCACCTAAGGACATGAAAGCAGGCATCAAAGCCTGAGATAGAATTAAACCTATGCATGTTTGGTACTTAACTATCTTAAAAAATAGAATATAAGTTTAAAAACTGCAAAAAGTTTAAAAATTGCTGAAAAAACTGAAGTCCCTTTGAACTTCCACCAACACCAAATTCCTTTCCCTAAACATAAATTAGATAGGAATTTGGCATGCATCCTTTCTAAGTTTTATTGAGATTCTGTATTCATAAAAACAGCCTTGACAGACAAATGTTTTTAAAATTATTTGCCTAAGTGACAAATTATATGTATTTCGCAATTTTGTTTTGTATCTATCAATATGACTTGGTAATTTGTTTATATTAGTATCTAGGTCTGGTTCATTTTTTATACTGCTATATAATCTTTAAAAAGTGAATAAACTATAATTTATTAATTCTCCTATTGATGAACATTTAGTTGCTTCCACTTTTCTAGTTTGTCTGCTACAAGGAATATCTTTAGAGAAAAGATAAAAGGTAAAGGAAGGAAGAAACATGCTAGTTTGTATTTGGAATATGTTTGGGTTAAGAACAGGTGAACACATTTGAATAGTGTTATAATTAACATTGAGATAGTAACAGAAGAGACTACTTTTTAAAATATTTTCATTTTCCTCTCTGATTATATAATTGAACTTCTAAAACAAGAATATCAAATAAAAAGTTCTGTATCCTCCAACTTGCCTACATGAGAGCATTTATATAACAGGAGATGAAAACCGAACAGACACACACACACACACACACACACACATATTCCATGTCTAAACTAAATTTATTATTTATATTTAAAAGTCTGAAAATTATTTCTACATTTATAACTTTAAAGCTTCCATTAAATAATTAAACAGACATAATTAAAACACAGTCAAAAGAAAATTTAGAGGAGAGAATCTATATATACTTTTCATGAATTTTGAGTTCTCTGTCAGCAAAGGCAAAAAGGAACAATACAGCTTTCAATTTATGACAAAAAGACAACGCAATTCATTTGGAGAGATTTCCTGAGCTGACATTTGGGAGGACTTCACTCAAATATGAGTCTTGGATAAAACAATGATGTCTTCAACTTCAGTTTTCCAGGATAAATTCTTCAAATTGACTTACTACACATTTTTGTACACTTGCCTTTTGATGGCCAAATAATGCATAATATTAGGTAACAAGTTGAAGAAACCATCTACGCAGGACAGTAATAATAGATTTAACTCGAGAATGCAAACACCCCTAAATCAGGAAAAGTGACATTTTCATGTCCCTTATATTATTTTCAGAAATATATCACAAAGCTTTTATAGACCATGCTAACAGTCGATTCCTGGTTCAATTAGTCAGTAAATAGAAGTACAAGAAGTCTGTTTCTGAGTAATAATTCAGGATTTTGGAGCCAGAGCCAAGTTACTGAAGATAGTCTTGCTTAAAATTTTTCATTTGCCCCACACTCACGCTTAAGCTATTTAACTTTTATATATATATAAAAGAATATTAAATATATTAACCAAGCTGTAAGCACAGTAAATATAATCAGTTTTTAGAAGTTGGTTGATAAAACTAATTTTTGAGTCAAATAAATGGTACACTCAATATATTAGAAAACTAAACTATTTTATAATCAGCATATAACAGAGGTGAGCATGTGAGAACCGAGAAAAAAGCTTCTCATCTTGAACTCTTTTAAGAAAACAATAGGGAGGCTGAGGCAGGAGAATGGCGTGAACCCGGGAGGCGGAGCTTGCAGTGAGCCAAGATCGTGCCACTGCACTCCAGCCTGGGTGACAGAGTGAGACTCTGTCTCAAAAAAAAAAAAAAAAAGAAAACAATAATTATTATGCTTTCCTATAAAGATCTTTGATGCAATGAGTTACCAACTTATTCAATAGCAAGGTTAATCAGAATCAATATGAAGGAATAAAACCATCAATGGCTTTAGAGAGGAAAGATACACACTTAAGATTAAAATCCAAACTAAAGAGTCATATTGATTCCCCATTGTTCGACCTTCCAGTTAGAAACTGAGGTTGTTGCGTATAAATGGCATTGTTCTTTCAGCCGTTATTCACTCTGCATAAAACGGAAAATAACGTGACAACACCATGACATATTAGTTGGTACCAGCTGATGCACATGGAAATTAGCTCTCCAATAAAATGTGACGAGGACAGACACGTGGCTGGGCAAGAGGAAAATCCATACACTTTACTTGGTATCCATTCACATTCTTGTCGCCACTTGGAATCAGGCCTTGGTCCCATGATGTGAGTTATATAAACAGCACGAGAAAGACCTACTAGGTCATGGTTTGCCTGCACAGAAGCTCAGCTACCAGTTAGTAGAGGCAACACGGAATTCATCACCCTAGACCTCCTCCATTTCTACTTCACTTCTTCCTTCTTGAGACAATCCATTCATCCACTGCCTGAAACCCAAACCAGCTATCCCTAAAATATGAGCTGCTCCTTCAAAAGCAATACACATTAATTCCAAAAACCATGTAAAATTTACAAGAAGTGTTGAATAGAAAAAACATAAAGTTAATATAACTTTTTTTGTTTGTTTTTGAGACAGTCTCACTCTGTCACCCAGACTGGAGTGCAGTGGCACAATCTTGGTTTACTGCAACCTCTGCTTCCCAGGTTCAAGCGATTCTGCTGCCTCAGCCTCCCAAGTAGCTGGGACTATAGGCACATGCCACCACACCTGGCTAATGTTTTGTATTTTTAGTAGAAACAGGGTTTCACCATGTTAGCCAGGATGGTCTCGATCTCCTGACCTCATGATCCACCCACCTCAGCCTCCCAAAGTGCTGGGATTACAGGCGTGAGCCACCACACCCAGTCACAATGTCAATATAACATTTTTAAACAAACACTCATATGAAGTTTTTAAGGCATATTCATATTCGATCATTTCAATTGCTAAAACAATGCAGATGAAGGTAATGCCAGCTTACACTATAAGTGCTCACTGCGTGCCAGGGAATGTTGTGCCCATCTCACACTTAACTCTGATCTTCACCATACACCTCCAATACAAGTAGGATACATATCTTCATTTCAGCAACAAAGAAATGCAGACAGATAGGTTAAGTAACTTGTCACAAATCACACAGCCAGTTTAAGGGAGGAGTCAGGATGTCAACCTAGGGAGTCTGGCTATAGCAGCATTTGCATTCTTGAACATCATGATCATAATTGAATAAATCAT